CTTCCAGAGGTTCAACGATAGGTGTCGCATGCTTGCGAACAAACTCTCTAGTTTCCTCTATCGAGGAAGGNTCTAAAAATCAGCTCTTTTTATATAAATATCGAAACTTTTGCGATACCTTCCCTCGTTTAAAGGAAAATCTTTCGCTATCAACAAAAATTCAAATCTACCAGAGTTCCAGCATTTAGCACACATTTCTTTAAATTCTATAAAACTCATATCTGACGAACAATGATCATAATATATGTGTTTTAAATTAGTTTCGTCTTGTTTGTATAAAATAATCATATTCGTGTTGTCTCTGTTATTTTGGTATACGAGAATACGTCTGCGATAAGTAAAATATATCGATACCGTTGTGTCGACCTCTACAAAAATACGATGCTNCCGTTGTGTCTACCTCTACAAAAATACGATGCTATGTTGTTTTGTTTTTCACATACGACGTCATCAAATATAAATATAGAATTAGATGTTACCTTTTCCGGTGCTAATACTTGATCGTTATCGGTGTAAACGTATATGTTTACTCCTTCTACGTCGTTAATAATATTCTCTAAGATTTTATATTTACGTTGATCCGGAGTTTTTGTATAGAGGTATATGTTTTCAAATTTTAAACCGTTTTCTTTTGTCAGAAAATTAAACATTACGTTTGTTTTACCGCAATTAGACGGTCCACAAATTATACAACGTATACTATCGGGTAGCAAAGGACCGTGTTTCATTCGTTTTGACACAGATTTATCCAAATCGACGTTAGAAACTGGTAACTTACATGTTTGCGCTTCGAAAAACATTACGTATAAAAGATTGATGTAACAATTACACCGTTTTAAACGATGATTCGACGTCGACGATCTAACATTAATAAACGCGGAAACGGTTTAGTTAATTCTCTTATAAATAATCTTCCCGTCGAAGTTCATTGGCCATCGTATCAATATCTAGGAACCGGCACGCGGTTACAAAAGCGATTGGCTCGTGGTGACCCTGGTAAAAATCCGCTGGATGCAGCAGCACGAGAACACGATATATCATATAGTAAATATAAAGACATTAAGAATCGTCATAAAGCCGATTACGTTTTACAAAATCGAGCTTGGGAACGTGTTAAAGCAAAAGATAGTACGTTCGGAGAAAAAGTAGCGGCTTACGCAACTACCAATATCATGAAAGCGAAACGCAAACTCGGGATGGGAATAAATTTTAACTCGATCGTTAGTTCGAGTCGAAAGGCGATGCGAAAAATGAAAGGTAAAAGTGCGAAGAAAGCAAGTATAATTGCACTCGCAGCGGCTAAAAAAACATTTAAAAACTCTGTTCGAAAACCTAGTGCTCCTCGTACTATAAAAATACCGAAATTTGGTGGAGTGCTTCCCTTGATTCCTATTTTCGCAGGTCTTTCTGCTCTAGGCTCGTTGGCAGGTGGTACCGCTAATATAATCAAAGCGGTAAATGAAGTAAGAAAAAATAAGGATTCAAAAAGTCCAGTTAAAATCGGTGGAGGTATGCTCGCAAAAAGAGGATCATCATTATATTTGAAACCATTTCAAAAAAACTAAATCATATGCTACCCAGTGATCGCCCGCTAAACAGCGATGATATTATAAAATATGCAAGACTATTAAAACTGTCTCATTTTCGTAATATTTTTTCACGAGATAAATTACCTAAAACACCACGAACGATTGAATGTGCTGTCGTGAATTTGGATGATGATACGGGCGAAGGCACGCACGGGTAGCATATTATAAAAAAAATAAAACCGTTTTTTATTTCGATTCGTTTGGCAACTTACCACCGCCTTTAGAATTACGCTCCTATTTAAAAGGATGTAGTATAAAATTTAATTACACTCGTGTTCAAGAGTTCAATACGTTAGTGTGTGGACAATTGTGTTTGAAATTTTTACTGGAACGATGCAACGCTCTTTAACGTTATCTTTTCAAGGTAACCAGTCTAGAATGATCAGTACCTTTTTCCCACCTATTGAATTAGATGGAACTGCAGAATTAGCACTTTTGAGTTTACAAGCTTGCAACTCTAAACCAAATGTTAGTGAAAAAAATAATTCTTTTCGTGTTTTAACCTATAACGATTACCTTGAAAGTTCAACGTCTGTTAATAATTCCGTTATTGATTTATCAATACCAATAGGATCATACGAGTTAGATGATATAGGTAAATATTTCTCAGATGAATTTAAAAAACATAATATTATTTTTAACTTGAAATCCAATGTGAATACATTGAAATCCGAAATGTTTTGCGATAAAACAGTAGATTTCACAGCAAAAAATAGCATAGGAGAGTTGTTGGGATTCAATAAAAAAACGTTTGAAGGCGGTGTCATACATGAATCAGAACAAATGGCTTATATTAATCTACTATCGTGTATAAGAATAGAGTGTAATATTGTACATGGAGCATTTGTTAACGGACGCGAGACGTGTTCTATTCACGAGTTTTATCCCTTGGTGTCACCCGGTTACAAGATTGTAGAATCACCTAATAATCTTATATATTATTCCGTGTTGACGAATCAAATAGATAACGTAAAAATTGAAATTAAAGATCAGAACGGAGAGCTTGTCGATTTCAGAGGAGAAAGTGTAACGGTTCGTGTTCATATTCGATATGGGTATACAATATAACGTTAAAAAGAGACGTTTTCATGAAGTTGAGAACAGTTCAATTTCAAAACTTCCAGAGTTAACAAGGGAGAGCTTGACTACACTTTTAAATCTTGGTTATACACTTGAAAATCGTAATGGAAGATATTCTGAACATACACGAAAAACCGTACTTCGAAGAAAGTATAACAAAATTTGAATACCATTCGTATCAACCATTTTCTAGTAACGCACTGTCGAATAACGATGAAATACGAATTGCGATACAACATCAAGATTTATATACTCTCCCAGCGAATCTTTGTTACACATCGAAGGTGAAGTTGAAAGAAATATAGAAACAGGTAATGGAGAAGCTTCTATAAAATTAATAAACAATGGCATTATGTTCCTATTTGATGAAATTCGTTACGAATTAAACTGTTGATAAAGTAAGAAATCCTGGTATTACAACATGTATGAAAGGTTATGCGTCTTTTCAAACAGCAAACCTTTACCGATATCAAAATGCCGGATGGAATGAAAGTGGTGAATCTAAAGAAAAATTCGAAGTGTGCATACCTCTCAAAGTAATTATGGGATTTGCGGAAGATCATCGTAAAATAATAATAAATTCCCGACAAGAATAAATACTGAATAGATCTAGCGTGGATATTAACGCGTTAAAATGTGAGCGAGGCAACGGTAAAATAAAAATCGCGAAAATTATGTGGAGAATGCCGCATATAAACGTTGAGGATGGTGTTAGATTGAAACTTTTGAAGACGTTAGATTCTCGTCAACCACTTTACATTGCTTTTAGAAGCTGGGAATTATTTGAACATCCATATTTACCACAAACAACAAAACATTCGTGGGCCGTTAAAACGTCAACGCACACTGAAAAACCTAGATATGTGATTATAGCGTTTCAAACTAAACGTAAAAACATTATATCTGCAGACATGAGTCGATTCGATCATTGTTCTCTATCATCGCTCAAAGTTTTTTTAAATTCAGAGTCTTATCCATATGACAGTTTAAACATCGATTTTGATAATGATAAATATTCAGCGTTGTATCAAATGTATTCATCGTTTCAAGATACTTTCTATAATATCGATAATGGTGATCCTATTTTGACTGAAGATGAATTCAAAGACTCTGCACCTATGGTTGTCATAGATTGTTCGAAACTGAATGAAAAAATTAAAAGTGCACCTGTAGACGTTCGAATTGAATTCGAAACCAAGATTCCTATACCAAAAGATACATCAGCATATTGTCTTATACTACATGATAAGATTTTCGAATATAACGCTATGACTAGCGAAATACACAAGGTGGTTTAATTTATGAAATAAAAAATTAATATAAGTATAATATTTTTTTTTAATTTAAAACAATTACTATTGTACATAATTAGTTATAATTTTTAGTTATTTATGTTTTACATTTAATGATTAAATTTAAATTTATTGACAATATTATACATTTTTAATATATTTATAAATTTATTTATTACTATTGTTATTAAAATAGTTGGGATTATTATATAATAATATTATATTATATAATAGATGAGTTATTAAAAGTGGGACGGTGTGGCCGAGTCGGTAACGCGGCAGCGCTTGACGCGTAGTGTCTCAGGTTCAAAACTCGGTCACGGGCGGCTTCATTTACCGAACGAGAGATCAGTTCGGTAATTTGGAGTCGCCATCCCACCTCCGGCGACGGACTAACCACCCGTCCCGGAGTATAAATGGTTAAGNCATTAACTGATTCATTATTTAACTGATTCTATTATTATAATAAAAACATGAAAATTTTTTAAATATATATAAAATATTAAACACATACCGTTTCATTTAACCAAGTTTGATGTTGCCCCGCATCGATCATCGAATATGATGCAGGATTTTCTATTTCATTAACTATATTTAAATAATAATCATCCATATTCCAAAAATCTGGTAATAATTCTTGAGACTGCGAAAATATATATATATATATATTTTATTATAATCGCATAAATAAAATTATTTTTAAATTACTTACCATTGTTTGCGAAAGTGGTTCAACTTTCATCTCGTTTATTATATCTGCGAATTCTTCTTCGCCAAGTAGTGGAGACAGCGGTTCACTTTTCATATTATTTAGAATTTGTAAAAATTCTTCGTTGTTAATACTTTGTGATGACATGTTGCTTGTACGCTTTTGATCCNATGACATGTTGGTTATAACGCTTTTGATCGAATGACTGTGGTGATCACACATACTCTTATACAATCTTACAGTAGAATTTCAAAATGATGAATTAGCATTTCTTTTGACACTGCGATTGGTTTAAAATTGGTTAACGTTTTAAAAACTNTGACACTGCGATTGGTTTAAAATTGGTTGACGTTTTAAAAACAATTGCTGGAATGGGTACTGTGAGATATATATCAGTTTTTAAATTTACTTCGTTATATTTTTGTCTTAAAATTTGCTGATTATGTGTTATTTAAATGCTAACTGTTTAAATCATAAAATAACCAACTTGCGTATTATATATACATGCATTTAAAATATTATTTCAGCATTTTGTCTTATCTAGCAGCATTTAAATTTTTTTCTTTTTAAGTGATATGTAATCATAGAAACGATGACTGGAGTTATAGAAATATGAATTAAATTTATCGTATCTGCTTTTGTGAGAAATTAAATTTTCTTGATAATATACTCATAAAGTATGCAGTTATAACTATAAGTTACATATTTTATTTTCATAAAGTATTTAATAATGTGTATTTAATATCACAATAAAGAATGAGACGTTATACAATAGTTATGTATTCTTATCTCACAAATTTGTTGATTGTATATATTATTTTGATAGAAAATTTTTTTAATCAATTATCAAACAGTTAGTATATATAATAATTTTTATTTTAATTAAAAAATGTTTTACAATACAATTATATCATTTCAAAATTGTTTACAATTATTGTTAATAATATTTTTTTAAATTGTTAACCAAATAAATCGTTACAATTTTCCTATATTTGAATTTGATCGTTAAATGGATTAGATAAATCATTATTTATACGGTGAACATTAACATCTTGTACATTTTCATTGTGATTTTCCAAATGATCTTGTTGGTCATCGTTTTTACTAAAAATTTTAATTTTATTTAGTATTTTTAGCATAAACAATTTAGTAAAATATCTACCTTATATTTTCATTTGTCATTTGCTTAACATCCTGATTGGTTTGATGTTTGAAATACTCAATGAATTGTTCCCATATACGTTTAATGATACATTTATAATCGAAGGTAACTATTTCTTTGTACAGTGCTGTTGATGTCTTTGGCAATAACGATATATCCATACTTTTCACGATGGAATACATTAAATTTTCGGGTAATACTAAAAACTTGTTTATAACCAAATCCTTTACTTTTTCGTAAACTTCTTTACTTTGCATGTACAATAAGTTACATGTTTCATATTTCTCTTTGGTTACTTCCAGGAGACATGACTTCATTTCTTTCAACGCATATAGATTTTCTTCGGTCAATGATATACGCCCCATTTTTTCTTCTTCATTACCTTTACCCGATATTGATAGATAACTTTTCGAGAAACATTTCGATTTTACAATGTTAAAAACGGAATTCAAATAAATTTTTGATTTACACGATTCATCCATATATGAAATAACTTCATCGATTAATTGTAAAAAATTAATAAATTTATCGACATCCATCCATAAATACATACTTGGAGATAATATTATCATTACGGGAGAGTATCGGTCGTTTATCCACGTGCAACCGATATGTAGAAATTTTCGCTCGACGAAACTCAAATTGAAGACCGACGTTGCTAGTATAGAAAACTCAGGTTGAGGTTGATTCCGAATAGTCATTCTTATATCTTTTCCTCCAGTTGTCATTTTCATCATACTTCACTTTGTTATACTTCACTGATTACACACACGAGTAAGAAAACGAAGATACAATACGATTGATTTTCACGAGCGGTTGTGTTTTATACCAATATTAAATAACAGGAGTGGGGGAAGAATACAATCATCTTTGAAGTGGGAGGTTGTGAGGCGCTATTATTTGTTATCAAATTGAATTTTTATTTTGATAAGGGAGGCGCTAATAATTTTCAAAAGTGAGGCGCCGGAGGAGATTATAAGTGAGGCGCTATTATTTGTTATCAAAATGATTTTTTATTTTGATAAGGGAGGCGCTAATAATTTTGATAAGTGAGGCGCCCCCACAAACACACATCATATTATGTATATCAATTAACACTTGTTGAAAACAAAAAAAAAAACTATTATATTAGATATTGAAATTTGTGTGTTCATTCGCGATTTTGCACAGCAGTAATACGGTCTGTCCTTATTACTTCCTGAACTAGTAATGCATAATGATGCTTGGGTATGACAATTACAGTTGTGATAATCTTCAGCCATGTATTTAAAGTATCGACAACGCGTTGGATCAGTATAATCTTTACGACACACGACAAATTGCGTGTTACTCGATTCTAAATAACTATTAGATTTATCCCAAATATTTACACTTAAACCATAATGACATTTGTACAAATTTCCATCATACATCCATCGTTTCATAGTGAGAAAAAATAACTTAAATAGAAAAAGAATTAAGCTGTAATCTATTGGTAAACTACTAAGATTAGACTATAGATTACATCGTTTATTTTTCAATTTTATAGAAACAGTGCATCATGATCTTTGTTACCAATTGTCAAATATAAAAACGTATTATCATAATTTAAATAATGCAAAAAATTTTATAAATAGTTAGAATTGAAACTGATACTGTAAGTATAAAAAGTATCAGCAATACCATTTCAGCAACAGTTTGAATTGAGCGGCGCGTCGTAAATTTTTTTTATTTAAGTACCTACACACGTATAAATATTTTTTTTAGTATAATTAAATAAATAAAATTCGATTACTAAATCATCGAGAATACTTTTTCTAATGAATTAATGCAAAAAAACAAAAAGAACAAAAGTATATAACAAAATTTGTCAATGATGGTTAAAAACTTTGAAAGCTCATAACTTTTAAACTGGACTTTGCCGACAATTTTTTTTTTTATATATTCTTAGTCAGTATAAAAAACTGAATCAATTAAAAAAAAAAAATTTGAAAAAACTCGATGGGGTGGTAAAATGCATTTAAGCCTTTCAGTCTTCCACAGAGTGATACAGAGTAGATGCGAGCTCAATTTCGGTTTTTTGTTCAATAAATTATACCAGTGTCCTACACTCCGATTGCCCGCACTGTGGCTGAGTTCAGACTGGCTGGTCGACAAGTGGAGAGACACTTTAGTGAACGCATATAATTACATAGAATCTTGACTAAGAAATTATTGTGCTAGTATTCTGTCCAGCCAGGTTGTAGCGCTTCAATAAGTAATAGAACAAAATGCAATCTAATCATGTATTTTTTTGAAGTGTGTATATATATAAAAAAATAAATAAATACCGTAAAACGGGGTCACTCGGGTCACTGAGGTAATTAGAATCAAAAATTATCTTTTTTTGTTATCAGTATCTGTGGAGGTAAATATTGATATTTTCGGGTTTGAAACAGCTGGATCGATTTAAGAATATGTTTTATGTGGTGGTTAAGTCGATCAAATGTAGGTTTTCCGAATTTCTTATCAATTAGATAACATCAATTTTGTTATCATAAAACGTGTTTATTTTGAACCTGCTCAAACTTCTCCTGGATAACAAGCCAGTAAGTATTTAACACTTTAAATTTCACTTAAAATTTTTAAGCAACTTATACTCTATCGTTTTATATAGTTATTAAGATTGTACGTGAAAAATTGTAAACATGGTGAAGGTTTTTCCAAAAAAATAATTTACGCGTGTTTTTTTGGGGTGATAACGGTCAGAATGATTTGATTTGGTGTAGTAGATAGTTTACGTATTTGGAGGTATACAACGAACAATAATGTTTTTACATATTTTTGTCATTCATTAAACCTACTCAAACATTCGATTGGTACTCATGTACACTTTGTTTTGTGCGCAATAAACATGTTTACCCTTTTAAATTACTTATAATATCTATAAAAATAGGTACCTAGGTACCTAATAATATTATAGAATACCTATTGTAGTTAGTAATACATATTAATGCTATACTAATTTTATTTACAAAATTATTATTACGATTCGTTTTTGCATCATTTTGCTAGGCACTGTTTTAAGTATGAAATATAATATATAAAATTGTTTTAGGAAAAATGCCGCGAACATATTTCCCGAATCCTCGGGGGGTCAGGCATCAACAGCACAGTGTTGAGGAATTGGAAAATGCGTTGTCGATAATTGCAAGTGGAAAATCTATTAGATCTGTTAGCCGCAATTTAAATATTCCATTCAGCGTCTTACAGAGGTTCCATAAAAATCGCCAACAAAACCCGGGTTTCATCCCGAAAAAATTAGGAGGTCAGATTAGTTTACCAGAAAGCGTGGAAAAAGCTTTAGTTGAAAATATTTTAAAGTGTTCTAATTGGGGTTATCCTATTACTGAATTTGACCTCCTCAGAATGTTCGTAAAATACCATCTAGATAGAGAAGGTACGAAAATCGCCAAGTTTAAAGATAACTGACCTGGATACGATTGGGCTAAATTATTCCTTAAAAGACACAAGCAGGATATATCCCAAAGAATGTGCCAAAATATTAAACGGAGCCGTGCTTTAGTCATTAATAAAATGATAAACGATTTTTTTGATAATTTGACGCCATATTTAAAAGAAATTTCTCCAGATTTAATCATAAACTATGACGAAACCAATTTATCAGATGATCCGGGACGTAAACTAATAATATGCAAGAGAGGCACTAAATACCCAGAAAGGATAATGAATTTTACAAAATCAGCTACCTCGGTTATGTTTGCTGCAGCTGCTGACGGGACTCTTCTACCACCTTATGTAATTTATAAATCAATGCATTTATATGATAAATGGACTGAGGGTGGTCCAAAAGGTGCTAGATACAATAGAACTCCTTCTGGATGGATGGATGGTCGATGCTTTTTAGAATGGTTTATAAAAATAATAGTGCAATATTGTAAAAATAAAGAGGGTCGCAAAATTTTAATAGGTGATAACTTGAGCTCGCATATTTCCCCTGAAGTTATTAAACTATGTAATAAGTATCAAATTGATTTTATTTTACTGCCGCCAAATTCAACTCACATTACGCAGCCATTGGACATTGCATTTTTTCGACCTTTAAAAGGATCTTGGAGAAAAGTTCTAGATAAATGGAAAAGTACTAAAAAATCACCGTCAGTTGACAAAAGCAATTTTCCTTCGCTTCTAAAATCAACTCTTAATGAATTAAATGGAAGATATCGAGATGTTATTAGAGCTGGATTTGAAAAATCTGGGATTTGGCCTTTAAATAGAGATCGAGTTTTAAATATGCTACCAAAAGATGAGCAATTGGAGACAAGCAGTGAAATGGTCGAGAATAATTTAACGAATTATTTAAAAGAGTCAAGATTTGGAGAATGTACACAAAAAAAAAATAGAAAGTCACGTTTGAAAGTTCCAGCGGGGAAAAGTGTTCGTGCTCATGATCTTGATTCAACAGAATCAGAGAAAAGTGAATATGATAGTGTATTAAACCAAATTTTTAATGATGAAAATGACAATGATATCGATGAACCATCAGAGGAAAATAACATAATAGAGCCAACACAGTCAACAAGTTCCGGAAATCGTGGAGTAATAAATATGCCAATAAACGTTTTACAAACAAACATAGAGGAAGGAACATGGGTTGCAGTCAATTTTGGTAAAAATAAGCCCAAAATATTTTTTGGAAAAGTTGTATCTGTTATTAAAAAAAGTGAAATTTGAGAAGGATCTTTTACAAGACCAAGTCTAATAATAAAAAATATGGAAAAATGCATTCATGCTTTCTCCGATATTATAGACTTTTGTGAATTCAGCATAGAACAAGTCATCAGAATTCTAAAAAATCCAAAATCTTTAAGAAGAGATAGGTGAGAATTTGAGGTGAGCCTGAAAAGTGTTCTAGAGGAGTTTGAGAAAAAAAAAAATACTAAAACCTAAAAATTCTATAGGTAATTTTTTAAATATTTCTTACATCCTATGGTAAACTCAGACTAAGTACCTACATACAAGTATTTATTTTTTTTTATTGTTATAAACTAAAAATGTTTAATAATGTTTTTCCTATTTGAAACTCAAAAGACTGAGTATATATGATTAATAGTTATTTTTTATTATTATAAACTAAAAATCTAAGGTTCATATTTTTTTTCTTCTATTGTTTGGATACAATTTTATCTATTTTGTTCTAATATTAAAATGTGTGATAAATATCTTAAATTTTATATAAAAATGTTCTTAAGAAGTTGACTTTTTTTTTTTAAATATACTTTATGATCCTATTCACCTTTAATCAAGGGTTAAATGGATTATGCTTCAATATTAATATACTGATTGTATTCACCCCATTAATGAGTACATAGGGTCACAACTTTAAAAAAAAAATTTTTAAAAATTAAGCATGGTTAATAAAATATAAACAGTACACACATCTTAAGCATTGCGTAACCTAACATTAAAACTTGATTTTTATTAT